CTGTCTGACCCACATAATCGCATTTGTCATGTAAAATGGACCATAAAACATGCATCACACGACACTTTCATATTGTGACCCCCCCAGTGACCTGACCTCTGTGACCTGACCTGGTATCAGTGACCTCAAATAGAAAAATATGTGTTTGAAGAACATTTCTCCATCGATGATTTTCAATGAAATGCATTTTACTCGATTTTACAACGCATTTCTTGAAATGCCTGTAAACGGTGAAAATTCGACCTTTGACCTGACCTGTGACGTCATCGGTTTGACCGAGGTCAATGAAATTGGGTCACAAGGTAGTTCCCCGCTGGGGCTATCCAACACCGTTTACCGCTTGTCGCTATGTTGCGTGGTTCTCGAGATCTGAGGGGGGGGGGCCAAAATGGCCCCCCCCCATCAGACCGCGTTGCTCGGCAGACCCCATCTGGGCGCGGGTTAAGCTGAATATCACGTGTTTTAACAATTTTTTCGATTGTTTTAATTAAAAAAACAACAGTTTTAAATTGGGCTTCATTTGTCTTAACTAGGTTCGAAAATGGTGTAGACCTAAGCGGTTTTTAACAAGAGACTGTTTTATAAGTGCATGCATGACTTAAACTTTTGAATTCATTTTAAAAGGGATAAAAACGCAATTTACCACTTTAAAATTATTTTATAATTCCCTTTTAAAATGAATTCAAAAGTTTTGGCCATACCTTATATGTCACATCTGTCATTTGATAATCCTCGAGAGACTGTTTATTTAAAACGGTTTAACACTCTAAGGTGGTTATAGCGATGAGTCAGTTTCTGGTAACAGAAGGACTCTGCGATATTGGAGCGCACAGGTAAAAAGTGGTCCTTATTTTCATTCGGGAAACACGGTACCTAGATATGTATAAAAAATGATGTATACCTACATTAAGCTTTTCTCACACACAAGATAATCGTAGCGTTACTCACTGCTGTTTTATTGCCTGTTGATGCAACGTCTGCATGTAACAGGTGTCTCTACACGGCACGGCTCATGGATTGTGCCAGGCACCGGTTAAGCCGAGAGCCGTATAGGTATTTTTGTTTTCTGATACACGAAAACGAGCACGTTTCCCGAGTCGTGTCGATCCCGTTTCGAGCCTCATCATGAGCTGCGGATCACCAGCGCCCGTCTCCGTACATTCCTCAGGTTTTACGAGCACTCAGCCGTGGTCACTATCGGTCATCTGTTATGGATTTGGGTAATGCCACAGAACCACAGGTGTCAAAGTATGTCTCCGAAGTGTCACTGTTATACTCATTCTCCTCATGGCTAATCTAAGCATGCTTGCCACCCTGCACTCCATTAGGTTGACATTTTGTTTTAGCAAAAGCAATGATTAAAGCTTGAAAACATTTTGAATGTCACAAAGTTAAAAGACCTGCCAAAATAACTTCCTATGGTATGGCACACTTGTGAAAATAATAAGATCGGCATCAAAAAACAGTTTTCTAATATAATGAAAAAATATCCGTGTCCCACAGATACCAACCAATAGCAATTGGCATGTGACAACGTAGATGAAAAAAGCAGCCAAATCCCATCATGCATTTGACTAAGAAGTAAGAAGCATCTGTCTGCGGTCACCCGAAGAGATCTGCTGGGGCCATTGTGATCGGAACATAACTGCTTACCCAGCGGCCCGTGACAGGCCACTCCTCTCTCCACATAGCCCACGTCAGTTCGGTGCAGACGGGGCGGGTGGCCGCAGTGACCTGAAGGTCATTCGGTGCGGCGTCTGCGCCAGCTACCGTCTGATCGGCATAGTCTGCAGCCCTGTCCGACCCCTCCCCATCCCACCCGCTTCCCACCGGGTCCGTACCGGTCCGAAAACCGGCGGCTCTGCCCAAACGGGGTCGGCATGGGTCAAAGGCCGCAGTCACTTCCGCTGTCCGGCTAAATGACGAGCAGTCATGGTCTGCGCGACTTAGACCGAGTCCGCTGACTTATCTGACCCGTTTGACTTTTCGCTGAACTAGTCTGCAAATTAACTCGCCTACGTCTCTATTGTCGGTGTTGGCAGTCGTCATTGTCTCCGTCGTCGCCTACGTCTCTATTGTCGGTGTCGTCTTCTCTGTCCATGGGCAGTGAAGAGAGGACATTATTGTTCGCTGCGAACGGTGGACACGGAACAGTTTCGATGTCTCCGCATTCCACGCTGTAGAGCTCACAAACACGTTTTATCTGCGCGATAATCTTTGTTCAGTGTACTCGGTTTTCCAAGAAAAGGTCATCCCCATCATCCCCCCTCGTTCTCTCGTCATTTCGAGATGTGTTATTACCCGTATAGAAGGCTACGCGGTAATTTGTGCTATTTCCTCTTCCTTCATCATGAAGTGGGGATTATTTTTAAAGAAATACTATCCCTTGCTCACTTGTAACTTGCCATCGTGACTGATATTTCAAATACCAAATACATCCAATAAATGCTTTCAGCTAGACTACGTATTTGGGCTTTTGCGGGAAGTTTTCAATTTCGCAATAAAATGAGGCACTCCCAACTTAAACGACAAACACACATGTTAATTATTTGAAAATCCAAGCATCAGTTATATAGACATGAATTGACATGCAAAGCTGAAAGGTCTGAGACTTTCTATGCTAACGTGCTAAAGGAAATGCATGCGAAATGTAAGTTGAAACGACATTCGATTGAATCCTTGTCCATAACATATGTAAATCGTGCGCCATTATGCACAAATATATTTTTCCCATTGCTGGCAGGCATGCTATATGCTAATGCATCTATAACAGCTGCACATCGTCACCGTTCCTTCGTGGTCGATTATTTTGTATGCCCACATGTTCGCTTTGAAACCACAACTCCCTTCCCAATCATACCTATGCTAAACCTAACCACACCGAACGATACATTCCAAATCGTGAAGCTGACCACATGTCACCTTGCGCTTACGGCTTATCATCAGAAGTGTTTTCTGGTTTCGTCATATACCTAACAGCACCTGAGGCTGCATCCTGCATTCCTGGGGTATGTGTCAGAGAGTCCCCGCTCATCTCTGCTGGGGACAGGGGTGTTTGTAACGTTATTTCATCGTCAGCTCTGGTCCCTTGTCGACCGTTATGATATTTTTCAGTGCTCGAGGTTTGGTCGCATGTGAGACCGCAAGCAACGGAAGCAGCCAAACAGTGACCATGAGAGGACGATGAGGTCACCGCGAAACAACTGCTGAGAGCAATCGAGATTTATGAATGATTTTAATTAAAGGTAAGCCTGACAAGTTTTGGAGAGCCACCAAGGTTCAACAACAGTATGGTTAATCAAAGACGAAATCGCTGGCGCATCTAAACCCCGACCGTTTTCTCTCGCATTTTCACATTTTAGTTTATTTTTTTCGTATTCGTAACAATATGCGTATTTTCGTGACACGAAAAATGGGAATAAATAATGACAACTATGATACAAAGTTTACAACTCAAATGATAAACGTTCTTCTAGCCGAATTTGCTGCATTATTGTATGCAGCTAAGTATGACATTTGGTTGAACTGACATTCTGCCGAATCTGTTGATTAGACTATAAGGACATCTAACAGCCTCACCCTTTAGATCGGGCTTTTGCTCTACTTATTCGTCCAATAAAATAGTCGCACTGAATCGTGATATGTAGCATTACAGAATACCCGATTTTGACATAGATATCCGGATGTTTCAGTCTGTTTGCGTGACATGCATCAAATGACATGCATAGCCATTTATTCTTCTCTAGGCCGTCCGCGATGTTATTTATATCGATCGTCTGTTCGACCGGAAACGGACCGGTTTTATTATCGGGCGAGCTCATCCGCGCGCTGATCCCCAAATCCGGGTACGGCCCTCAATATACCCTGGGTACGGCCCACCGCTATACGGCGGGAATAGACGGACTGTGGCGGCAGCAGAAAATAAAAAACATCACCCCGGGATTCCAGAGAACCGCTCGTGACTTGGTAGTTAATTACATTCTCATTTTGTCATGTTGTGTGTATTCATAAATATTTGGTGAGTCTTGTCTTGTGTGCTGGGAGATCTGTGAACAGTCAGCATTTTCTTTTTGTATCCGTGTATAATGTTTACGTATTCTATTTGATGTTGATGTTGTCATTTCAATGTTAGGTACAGAAGGTCTACAAAATAAGTCCCCGCCGTATGCGGGTCACCAGTGGGCAGTTAGCGCCTGAGCGCTACTCGGGCGCCACCTGCCCGCATACGGAGAGGACTTATATTGTAGACATACTGTACCTACCTACCCCATTTTTAACTTTTATCTTGCCAATGAAGCTATTGATCTTTGATTAGACTTTGATTCTCTCATAACCAAACTTTGGGATGAATAAACGTCATTCAACATGCATACGGTAATAAGTTGCCGAAGGTGACTGTAGACTTGTTTTCTATTTAAACTCTTCAGATTTGTGATTAGGCCCCTAGAAATGCGACGATCGTCACGCATTTATGGTAGACACACAGGTCTCCCTAAGGAAAGATGCCGTTTTGCACTTGCGTGCGAGCACGTGAAATGGAACTGTGAACAATCGAGGGAAAGTTAGAAATCATTGTTCTTATTTTTGGTGTAGCTGAAGCTCGCTGTTACATAATGAGCCCAGCACAAAATACGATTACACAAATGGTGATGTCCTCTACAGGATGTAATACCACAAACTCGTTATCCTGCTTCATCTGACGTGGGCGATGGGGCTTATAAGCTAAACAGCCAAATAATCGCGCATTACTGTGACCGAATGTTGCATATATTGACCATCTGATGACGCTACGAATTAGTTCTATGCGTGATTACTGGCGTAAATCTACGAATCAGGTTCTAAGCTTGTGAGAGACGAGTATCCGTTCACAATGCTTCATGCGTGGGATTCAGTGCGTTGAAGTTTGTCATCGCATGCGTCTCGGAACGATGCAAGGGGTTAAAGCCAGCTGCGAGCATAGAATTGTAAAGATCTTAAAGATGCTGAAGATGCTAAAGATATTTGAAATATATAACCGTTTATTGATGAAAATGACACTGCAACCAATTGATCATCACACTCGTGTTAAATAGCGTTCCAGCGCAGCCAAAGAACAATAATCTTTTCTTTCTCGTTACGGGGTCACGATAATGAGGGCCAAGTTGCGTGTCACTCTCAAATCTTTGGCTGTATCAGAGCCTGCAATAAATTACCACTCATCCCACTCACACACTGTCAACAAGCCAACAAGTACAGTAATGCCATGGATCGCCTCTGAGCCACTCTGCCGCACCCTAAATCTCATCTCATCACTTCGTCCACAAATCTCCCGTGCAGCGATCAGGCTCGGACGCGGCGCGCGACGGCCCGTACCAGGCACCGCAGGGGGACGCAGCTCCGGTCCCAACCACACCGCCTGTCTGCTTCGACCAACGGTCCTGTCAGCCTGACTCCATGACAGGTGTCCTTTCTGTGACAGGTGACCTTTCTATGACAGGTGCCTCTGCTCGTTCGCATGCTCGCTTGGCGATACAGGAGGTCGGCAGGAGGTCTGAGCGGTCGGGGATGAGGGACCGGGCGCACCACACCTCAATAACATATGACGGATGAACTGGCGGACGGAGGAAAGGCGGATGGAGGACGGACGGACCGCGGAACGGACGGACTGGAAGATGAACTGACCGACAGACCGACACACGTCAAGACCAGACCCTTGGCGGTCTCGGTCGGACGCAGGGGACCGCTCAGAATCCGTAGTAGCCTCGCTGCAGGATGTCCATCAGACTGAGCGGACGGGGCCGCGGCGCCCGGCGCAGCACCAGGCTCGACATGACCGAGTCGGCCAGTGAGTTGGGGCGCTGCTCGGCGTCACGGGCCGCTACGGGCACGGGCACGATAATGGGCTGCAGGAGGATCACCGGCGAGCCGCCGAAGCCGCCCAGGGCGCCGCCCAACTGCAGCTGCGGCTGCAGCCGGCTCAGCAGAGACATCTGCATCAGCGGGGAGAGCGCCGGACGACGGACGGCGAACGCGCTGAACGAGGGCCGCACCGGCGCCGGCTGGGCCGCCGGCTGGGGCGCCGCCTCCACCACCGACTCGATCGGCTCATCTGCGGACGGAAAAAAAAAACACACACATACCGTCAGAGCTGCAGTTCAAACGTGAGAGATGGGCGCTGTGAACATGGTGAGCTCCGCTCCAAACGAGTGTTGCAGAGCTCGTGGGAAGGGGATTTGGCCATCGATAAAAGTAATGTTAAAATTACGCGTTGTCTGATTGTCGTATATGGACACAGCACCATGGGCGAGCGTGGAAACTGAGGCGAGGCAGACTCTGAGTTGACCTCATGTACACGCTTGTTTCTACGAATTATACATATAACCGGCAATACCGGTACGAATAAGGTGAAGGATCTGTGACCAGACAGGTGACCGCTGCCCCAACTGCGTATACAGAGATGCATGGAAAACCGGCCGGGAAGTCGCGTGCACCGGGGCTGATCGTGTGATAAGCACCTTGTTTAATGCCCTGTATCAGTCATGCAATAGAACTCAGCAGACGCACCGACCGTGGGCAGTAGTGTTGAGTGCCGTCATGAGGCGGACTAAGGAATTTAACGGCACTAAAAATCAAGGACCTTCAACCGTTAATTAGGTCGTGCATGTAATGGGGTCATAAATCATTGTTTGTGCCATAATGCAGAGCTTCGAGATGTTTGTAAATCGCATGATTGACTTTTGTTTGTGGCTGTTCACTTCTCGGTACGTACAAAACCAACAGTTCAATTGAAGTGTACGAGAATGTAGACACGTCAGTAGTCATTACGTTACAATGGTTATGGTAAATTAGTTCTGGTCAATCGCTACATGTGGTCGCGTATTTTCGAAGAATCATCTCAGTCAAGTTTTATAAACGCCTCATAAAAGTACGGAAAGTAGTGGTTCAACGAATTTCGACCGTTACTGACAAATTTTCGTCATGTTTCCTTTGCGGTATTTGCAAAGAAGTACATATACCCGGGCATTAAACTTACAGAACAGTCGTTGACCACTGTAAAAATGTGTTTTGAGAAATATAACTACAAATTTGTCAGTTGAAGTGGTGGCTAGGGGTGAACTGAATCCCTTATCATTGACGGCCTCAGAAGACCGCATCTCGTCTCCGTTATACACGGGAATCAGCAACCAAATATGTCGTTCCAGACACGGATAATAAAGTAGCATTAAACAATGCGTAGGCCGCGGTCTCACCATCGTTAATTTCTCAGTATAGCATAGCGGAGGCGATTACCGTGTCAGAGACTTAAACTCAGTCCCCTCGACGGGACAAACCCAAGCCACACCAAAACAGGAGTGGCTAGTTTGCATAAATCCCCTCCGAGCAGCGACACATGTCTGTGGCTGCACTCCTCCCGCCCCTGCATACCCTCCCCTCTCTAACGTCTGCCCTTTCCACACGCATATGCTCCCAGGTCTCCCTTGACCCGCGCGCCCTCTCCGTGACAGTCACGACCCTCTCTGCCGGTCACGACTATTTCTGCCCGTTGGACCGTGATCCGAGCCCGTAAACCATCCGCTCGTGAGGAGGCGTCCGAGCCGCACCCCGAGACGGGTGTGACGCGACCTGAAGGCCACCGCCCACCACATACACAGAGTGATCTCAGATGAGCTTTTTAAAATGTGGTGAGAAAAGCGGGTGCTAGCGATAAATGGGTCTGTTGTCAAGCCGAAATAAAAAAGAGGTACACGGAACTGTTATCACGGGCTTTTGGACGTGCAGGGTTCGGAATGGGCTTGCCCGATGTGTTGTGCTCGCCGCATGTGATCTACCGTTGAGCCCCTGATATTTTTGTTGGCTGTTTTTGACGCTAATGCCGCCGAGTGCCTACAGCGGGATGCCATGTCGCCAAAGCCACAGGCATGTAACCTCGGTCGCAGACCAACTGGACAATTCGCCACTGACGCACGGACTTAACGCCGTAAACGACTGGTTACATGCAGGCTAACCTGCCGTGGTAACCGAGATGACGGCATTCGAAAGGCAATAAGGCTGACTCAGCTCTGGCGCCTATGTAAAAAGTATGAAAATACGAGCCAAATAGGGATCACAACCCATGTTCATGCCTAAAATCATTCCACGTTTTTACAGCAATTGCTACCAAGGTCATTTGTCGCAGCCTTGCAGTGAGTAATTTTCTTTGTGAGTCAGCTATTGGCCTATCACCTTACCAAGGTCGGTGCCTATGTTTCAGGTACGCTGCACAGCTGGACATTCACCCCAGCGTTCACCCTGGACATCCTTCCTCCTTCCAGGGCGTCTTGCTAATCGATGGGGGCGCCGGCGCTGGCTGTGGCGCCACATTAACGCCTTCAGCACGCGCTAATGGCTGGCGATGGTGCGGCTCGTGCGTCTGCAGCCCACGCCCGCCATATAAGGCGGTGTCTCTCTCCGTTTGAAGCTCGTCTGCCGCCCCCGGAGCCAGGCACGGCTCAGCACGGGGAACGATCGGAATGCCGGGACAGTGCCCGTCCACGCCCGGTCGGCCACCATGCCGCTTTCATTAACCGGCCCGGTGAGGTATTACAATAGAGCTGAATGCAGCGAAAGGCGTTTAAGAAGTACGCCGTTTGTCGCATGCGAAACGAGTCGCAGGAGTTTCCAGTCAGAGCTGTGGTTGGAGTTCCAGGAAGTTGGGCCGCGCGTCAACGTGTCGTGTTTTGATAGTGATTTGTTTTATTCTGACAATGGAATAGCTGTGGAAATGTTTTGTTTTAATTGTAACACGACTCTGAAGGATTTTTAGTTACGATGTTTTTTGCTCCGACAACTAAGAAACAATTCCGCTGTGTGACTTTGTTTCGGTCAGGTTCTCGGTCCAGGCACGAAACGGGCTTACCTCGGCCTAAATCCGTGCCATAAACTGACTACCGGAATTCGGGAAACCCGGCCCTGGTTGGCACTCGGGGCCTGCAGGGCTTCCAGGCTGTCTGCAAGATCGCCGCGACCGGTACAGATCGGGCGGATAGACCAGTTTTAATGCACCGGCGATTCGCTGGCGTGATACCGCTCATCATCGTGCGACCTCAATGCTGGAAGAGACTCCAGTCTGGCGGTGTTTATGAGCCATGAATCCGCTCACCCAGTCAGAGGTCAGGGAAAGGCAGGTTTGACCGCTGACTCTTAGGCACTGGCATAAACCAGATCGTCAGACCGCTAATATGTCGCTGACCTGTAACATCACGGTCATGTTTCCCGTTTCGAAAGGAAGTACTGAGCGGTCTCTTTCCTGAAAGCTCTTGCCCACCTCTTCCGTTCCTGGGTCCATCGCCCTTCCCGCTGGCATCCTTCACACTAAGACCCGGTGATCCCGCCTCCAGTCGTGGCAGAACGTGAAAAACGTGACTGATGGATGACCCTCGGCCTGCCCTTTCGCGATCAGCCGGCGCATGTCCGGGTCGACCTCGCGCACAGACTGGTGAGCGTTTGCGGAAGTGGGTGCGCCGATCGTCAGGCCACCTCTCCACACTGTGCCAAGAGAAAGCTGCAAACGGACGTTGTGTGAGCTGCCGACGGGTCGTCAAACACGCCGTGCCCAATCCGGCCGAGCTTCCGTGACCAGTCTGTAGCCAGGTGGAACGCCGCCGAACCGGCTGTCAGCCACTCAGCTGCGACGTCAGGCGGCGGCGACGCGGCGCCTCCGGTTCGCGTCCATGTCACGAACGGCGCGGCGGCGCGGCGCGTGGTCACGGTCGTCGACACGGGCCCCGTTAGCTCACCGTGACACCCGTTGGGCGACCTGCGATACCACGAGCGACGTGGTGACCTAACGGAATCACCCAATAAAAACTGCTGATACCGTCACCTCTGCCACTGCCTGTCATCGTCAACGAAGCGTAAAAGAACATTCGATCCGTCCCGAATCCCTGACTGCAGGTCACGGGGCTCTCAGCGCCCCACTAACAGACCCCGGGTCACACTCGTGACGGACTCACCGTTCACCAGCACGGTGAAGGGTGTCGACTGTTTCTTGGTCTCGGTGTCGGGCTCGGTAAGCTCGTTGGTGGCCACCTCGGGTTCGGTGATCTGCTGGTCGGCCAGCACCTCCGTCGGCAGGGGCTCGGAGGCGGCGGCCTGCAGGTGGGGAGGCGCCATCACCACCGTCTGCACCGGACCCGACTCCATGGCGATCTGGTCCTCGGCAGAGTCGTGGATGTACGGGTCTTGGATGGACGCCCCGCAGGTCATGCCCAGCGCAGACAAAACCAGCTGCCGGACAAACGCGCAGTGTCACATTTATTCGGATATCATGGTTTACCTACATTTATGCAGCACATTACACCTCAGTGTGACGTCGTTTCGCATTTAATGAGTGTTACTATCAAGGCGGTCATACAGTTCTAACAAAAAGACCACTTGAATACCTCAGAGAGGCACTCAGATCGTTTGTTCACGCTCTGAGGATGCGTTGACGTTTTTTCAGTCTGTCTAGTGACCGTGACGACGGCAGGCTGTGTATATATCACAGCCGTCACGCTCCATTGTTCGACGCACAATCGGCGATAGAGTGACAGAGAAGCGCCGTGAGTGGCGACGGCGGGGTCGGGGTCCCGGTCAGAAAACAGCGCCCTGTTCCCGGCCTTCGTGAGGCGCCCGGCACTTCCGGACGGCGGGACGGAGCGGCGCAGGGGAGGACGGCAAGGAACCGAGGTAGTCAACGGGTATTTCCTCGACGCTAATAAGAAATCCTCGATTGCGAAGTGTTGACTTGTTATGCTGCTCAGAATGAAGGGGTAATTGTTGTTTTCTGTCTAATTACATAGATGATATCATCAGCGAGGAGAACATAATATCTTCATTGTCAGGCAAATGTGAGGGCCTGATGATAAAAGTGAAGTTATATAAACAATTATTAGGTTTGCAAGTTAACAACTTGTTTATCTAGCGTCTTCCTGTTGCATGGGAATTATCTTTGTCCCGGCAAATACATCGATGCAAATCAGGGGCGGATCCAGAAAATCTCCAAGGGAGGGGCCATTAGAAACCAGGAGCCCCCCCCCCCCATAATCCCACCTGTTGGAGGCCCCATCTTCCCACTTGTTGGCCCCCCCCCCAAAAAAAAACTGCGTCTATTGAGCTTATCTAGCTGTTCAGACAACATCTCAACATCTGTGCAGGCTTGGAGGCCCTCTGTGCAGGTTAGGAGGCCCTGTAAAAGTGGTCATCTCTGTGAGTATAAGAGACCTCCAAGTTATGAAAAGCTTTACCAATCTTCTAACAAAGAAGTCTTCTCAGCTAGTCTTCTAAGAAATAACTAAGTGGGTAGGTTAAAAAAAAAAACTCATCGGATTTCGGCCACTTTATTTTCAGGAGGCCCCCTTTTCAGCTTTTCAACTTTTTAACTTTTTATTTTATTTTTGAAAAAAATCGGCCAAGGGGGGGCCATGGCCCCCATGGCCCCCCCCCTTGTATCCGCGCCTGATGCAAATGCGCAGACGTGTTAATTTTGATGAACAATCAAAGAAGTGCATTTGATTGATCATGGAAGACAAACCATTGAACTCAACTTAAAGTCCATAACGTTACGTCATGCACTGCTATCACCGTCTAACAGGTATGCTAAAGACGAGAAGCCAACAAAGCAAGAGCGCCTATATGCAATTTAGGCGGCAGCAGCAATAGCGGTGCCAAAAGAATGCATCTCTAATGGCACCAACCGTCCCACGCGGCAGATGTGTAAACGATGCAGTTGCATCCTCCCCGTCATTAAACCGCTCCTGACAAGACGTTTCGCCACCGTTCCCAGTACCGCTATGATGAGATGGTGACATTGTGACCCCGCGCCTGGCTAAGTGGCCGGCTTTGTGACGGCACAAAGCGGCCCTGTTTTCTAGAAGGGGAGAGGGCGCGCCCTGAGGAAGTGGTCCGAGGGAGGCCGTCCCAGTGAGACCGGCCGCTGTCCGGCCGGTAGCCTCGACCTACTGGGTCGTGCACGCTCCGATATGGCGGCGGGCGATGGAGAACAGGATATACCGCACGGCAGGGCAGGAACCAACGGCACTTGTCGTGACAGCACACCTGAATAGATAGATACCCGATGCTATGGATATTAACTGTAGGTATGCCGGCTGTTAACTGCGATTATTTTCTTTCTTGCATAAACTTTTGGGATTAGAAGCAAGATTTCGATTGAAAACACTGATTAGTGATAAAAGGATGCAATCATGGGTGGAGTTTCCACCTCCATATACAGTTCTGTTGGGACGTGGGGCGTTTACCCCACTAATCAAATTTATCCTAACCAATTCGGATCAGACTGAAGGACTTCTAGACATAAAAATGAGCCTTTCGCGCTTAATCGCTCCCTACTGCTCCGTGCAGATAAAAACGACCGCTGGGAGGGCAGCAGCGATTTTATGCAAGCACTTTTTTTTTGGCTTGACCATCAATGATCTGATACTATCAGTTTGGAATGAACGACATTTAATCCGCCGGCTTCGTGGGATAGCTTCACCTGTGGTACAATTGTAGTGGTTTTAACACGCATATTACCGGCAAATAATACACATATTATAAAACGTATTGCATGAATAATTACTAGAAAAGGAAATATAGCAAAAATTAATTATATTAGGTATAAACAAAATACATATACTATAACTACCTTTTCAAAAGGCAGAAAAAGATGGAATTAATGGAAATAGAGATCGACTCTTATCTTCGGTGGACAGGGAACAATAAATATAGGTACTTTAAGAACCTAATAAAAAATAGATTTTCAAAATAAGTAGTTTGGTTTACGAACACTTAACTTGGTCTACAGAAGAAATTACATTAACTGAACGGCATTGCTAAAAATGCGTAGGTACCTATTGCTTACTGGTCGTCTGATTTAATTAACCCACGAGCGGCTGGGGGGGGGGGGGGGGGCATAAAGTTGCCCCCCTTTACGTTTTGTAAAATATCTCCGAAACCTGATGTGCTACAAACGTGAAACTTGGCATAGCTTCAAATCAATACCCAGGCAATGTTTGAGGAAAGTTTGGTGGTTGTAGCACTTAAGATGACGTCACAGTGACGTCATAAACTTTTGTCGTTTTCTGATATGGACAGTTTCTGATGTCGCTGAGCATGAAACTCAACTGTAAATGAACCAGACAGCACCAGCTGTCATCCTAAAGCATCTAAGTACACTTCCAACTAGTTCCTGACCAATAATTAGTTCTTTATATTCGGTCTCACATATCGGATATATCGTGACAAACCCGAGAGTCGCAAATCTATAATTTTACTTCTGACGTCACTGTGACGTCATTTCAAATGGGATCGACACCAAATTTGGACACAACCTCGGGTAGGTATACAGAAGGATGTGTGCGAAGTTTCGCCTCTCTGTCTTTTCGCATTACGACGATATCGTCGCAGAAGTAAAGGGGGGAACTATATGCCCCCCCCCCCCCAGTGGCCGGCGGGTAGCGCGGAGGCCCAGCGGCCGCCGGGTTAAGGACACTTACATTTGAGGCCATTAACGTTCAAGTGGCCATTCTGCTCGTTTCCACTGAAATTTTTTGGTTATTTAAAGCTGTACAATGCAAGCAAAATAGATCATTTATATTTTTTTAACATGTAGTTATAGGTAATAATTCAAATTAAGAATCGCTTTATTTACGGGCATTAATGCATGAGTCTACTGTATTAAGTGTCATGCCAGGCATTCCTTACACATGCCTCGGTACCGCCCAATAGTTGTTAAACGTCGTCTCTGTAACGTGGTGCTCAAAGAAAAAATAATCGGAACAGTAAGACGAGACGGTCACTTACGCATGCCTAATATGTTACCAAAATAGGCTCCAAACTTTTATACACACAAAACATGTCTTACTTTTATGAACTGTAAATTATAATCGTTTTAATAAATGATGTTGATTGTAAACCAAGAAGTACAAAATTTCCGTTTACGGCAGTTTCAGTTTAAAATTTCTTAGGTCACATCGGATGCAATATATGCAGTTTGTGCAAGTCACTTGCAATCAGATCATTAGCCAATTAGCGGTACCACTCGCCCCACGTTCCCCTGCACTTACCATCAGTTTGAAATCCATGGCGCGGCCGCTGGGGAGGTACTGCGATCGTACGGCGGCGACGGGGCGATGTCGGCGGGTCTGGGCCGACTGGGCGGCCAGCGGCCTTATATAGGCACGAGCAGGACCGGTCCAGGTGGAGACGACAGCAAGCACGCGGCGACAGCGACTCGGGTACGTAACTCATAATACGTACGCAATACGCATACATGCATTTTTGGATTTATAAGCTTGTTTTATAAATGAGGGCACATTTTCATACGATCCTCAATGAGTCAATTAAAAGTTTGTGACGAATGACAACATATCTATATCAAATAAAAATATCAGTGGACATCTAGGGTGCTTATTTATTTGTAAAAAAGGTCAGACAACTCTGAAGTCACAAGTAACTCCGTCTAGGCCTGCCTATGTTCTGTGTCTAGATCTTTATTTCTAATTTTAACAAGTCTTATGTCGGCGCTAGTGTCGCCGAAAGCATCTGGTTCATGGTTGCAGCTTGCAATGATAGTGCGTCGACCTCATTATAACCGGTAATCCACTTATTGATCAGCCCATGTTGTGGATGAGCCGCATAACATGGTTGGGTTATTATATATTGTTAAGAAGGTTTGACCAGGGTATATTGAATTACGGGTTTGACCACAATTACTCTGTTGTTAAATGGCATGCATGTGTGCCTTATATGAACAAAATAACCACTTCTGAGGAAATCCGATTAGATCCAAGCGTCCTATTGGAGCGTACCTATAAGGTAGTATCAGAAAACGATGTCATATCTTACAAGTGCGCATATTCCAACTGAATGTCAATAGAGAGAGAGAGAAGTATACTGCATATCATCCAAAGGCCCTTTGTTTATGGACAATGACGCTCTCGTTAGGAAAAAAAATGCTTTCGATCAGTATGTAATCCTCACTGGAAAACCCCTCCCTTCCTACCAATCACCATATTCCACCGTCTTCACTGGATCACCAGCCCAGCCCGTACTGCGGTCAACTGGTCCCCCAGACACGTCCGCCTCTGGTGGAGAATACCAGCCGTCCGTCCAAACAGGACAGGAGCTACCGGAAAGGCCAGACGCACCCCGAGTGCGAGAGACTCTGAGTCATGGGTCAAAATACGCTGCTTTGACCTCCGAGGCTGGGTCAACAACTAAAACTAATTGAAGTCTCGCTCATGCCTTTTTCGTGGCTTCGTTCTGGGCATGTCGTTTCTACTTTCATTTAGCTCATTCAAAATTTGATTAATCAATATAGGTAAATCAAATAATGCAATAGCACTGCAGTTAGCCAGAAATGGTGTCGTACTTCAGCTACCGCAAGCATGTACCAATATCCGAACAATCGTCTGTAGGTATGTAGTTTCTGGTCATGGGGCTTGTGCAGGGGCTACTGAAACGCATACTAACTTCAGAGCCGAAGCATAAGCGGCAAGCGCTATTATTCAAACTTGCTGTCTGTAGTCTGTTTTCCATATTCAAAAACCGCCAGTCAAAGCCATCTGTCGATTGGCAGAACCTCACATTACTTTAGCTGTGGGCTGTGCATCGTAAACATTGAAAAGAAAGCGTTTTTCTGAATGTCATCTATCGAGAATTTCCCATCAAGAATTTCCAAACGGACAGAAAAAGGTATGTTTTTTATCCGGTACCATCGTGACTGAGATCGCCGCATCAATTTTAAAGCCAGCAGTGTGGAGACATTGACAGACAATTTTCCATTGAAATTGTTCCTTTCAGTGCCGTTGGGCTGAGAATCCCAGGATCATATCGTTGTGATCATCCGCGGCTGCCTATACAGTTGTGTCGACCAGTGACGTAACAGTTGGTGCTCATGGTCACGGCAGCGGGCAGCGGTGGCAGTTGGATCTGTCACCTCCTGGCACAGAGCATATGACGTCACAGGCGACGAACCGGCAGGGATCGCAGTTATGTGGCGTCGCCGGCAGGCTGCGCCAATATCAGAAACTTTTGGACAGTTTTTTGACAATTCCATGAGTGGTATTCCGACGGAGTGACTTATCGCCGAATGTTTTTCATCTAAAACAGTTAGTCGTGAGAGAAGAGATGAGCCGGATTGGACAAAAGAGCTGACTGCGCCAGTGCACTGTGCCGGTGCCAATTAACGTTTGCCATTTTTTGGGGGGCAATGCAAGAACCGTGCGAATCTCGACGGTCGATTTAAAGGAGATGACTGATGATTGATCTGCAATAAAGCACCTTCTTGCCTATATAAAGTTCATATTGAAGCGAAATAGGGTAAGCTGTTATGTTCCGTGCCTACATGAAAATCTGGATTCACTTTATCTAGCCCGGTTGCAACCTGAGCCATTAACAACTGACTGTCTTATTTCGATTGCTCGGAACATGTTCCATACCTGCTATTTACGCGATCTCCCGTTCTTTGTTTTTTTTTTTTTTCAGCGGCGCTAAGTGCTTGGCACGCATTACGCAAGGTGCTGGTGATTTATCTTTCCAACACATCTGATAATATTATATATTTAAATAAATTAAAGGTCAATACTACGTCACGTCAAGTGGGCCCTCAAGAAAATCATTGAACGGGGAGGGCACCGGGGCACCGTGCTCCCCTTTGATTTGGGCATATTTTAACATTAGCCCTATGGGCGTTGCGTGGAAAGAATGGGACCAAAAGTCGGCAGTGCCCCCTTCTTAATTGAAGGTGTTCCTCCGCTACTGGCCATCGATAGCATAACAACCTACTTTCTTATAAAGTTTTATCGGAATTTCGCTATCGGTGACCTAATGTCAGGTTAGCGATCTCTCGATGTTGAATGTAATAGGTAGGTAAGCAACTGTGAGAAAATTGAGCTGTACCTACCTTTTTTGGATTTAATCTTAGGTAGGTACTTATAAATAAGCACTCAGTCAATGGGTAACAAACAAGCAGTTTCTCAGTGCTTGAGCGAGAAAGATATTAAAGCATATTTGAAAAATGACCTTATCCTCATATTTAAACAGGTTACCTAAATCAAAACACTTTTTCATTAATAATTTCGAGCACAGCTCTTCATCAAAATATCAAGTCAAAAAACTTTTTGACTTGATATTCTGATGAAGAGCTGTGCTCGAAATCATTAATAAAAAGTGTTTTGATTTAACCTTTTTAAATACGAGGATAAGGTCATTATTCAAATAAACAAGCATTTAACAATAAATCGGCAATTGTACCCTACACGGCAATTGTACCCTTTTATACCTATTCCTAGGGACATGAGAGGGTTTCAGCAGTTTCGACCAGGGCTGCAGAGTAAGAGTCGGAGTCAGAGTTGGAGTCGGTCGGAGTCGACAGTTCTGCCTGGAATCGGAGTTAAAGGGACACTCCCACCTTAACATTAGTTTTGAGTTGAGATAGCCAAATTGGTGGCCATGGCCTGCAAATACCGGTTTGGGCACTCACAACATCGACAAATGCTTTAATTCGGAGATATGGAATTTCAAACTTGCAGTTTTCGGATTCTAAGGGGCTAGTGCATTGGTATGCCCCCTTAGAATTTGTGACGTCAGCGGAGATCTAACGATTTTTAAATCTTTTACTAAAACGTTTGGTAGCACGCGGTGGTATATGCTGCTTTGCGCGCAACAAATGCCGCACTTTCAAATAAAGTCGCTAGGAACAGCGGAGATCCCAAAAAGTAAACAAAAGTAAAAGTCTAATATCTTGAAAACCGGTGAATATTTTTCGATGAAATTTGGTAGATATTCGTTTTCGCTCTTTCTGAACCGAGCGACACCACTTTCGTGCCAATTCATTAACTTTTTTGAAGGTGGGAGGGTCCCTTTAAAGGTATTTTATTTCCGCCGTAGTGTATTTCACTTGAGGGATTTTCTACCATACATCTGCCTGAGCTTAGGGTAATTACAATTTGTCGGCGACATTAAAAAATGATGCACTTTTTTCGCAGTATAGGATATCGCATGTGCATATTTCTGCCTTTTTGGGTGCGCTTTATCGGTTTTTCGTGAGTAACTCGCGTAAAAACCGTCCGATCGCGACGAAACTTTCAATGACCCCGATTTAATCATTTTTCATTTCATGACCTGACCCAAATAACCTTTGACCTGTGACCTATTTCTCGAGACCATGTTTGGCCCGAATCGCGATTCGGCGTATGTCGGCTCGCATTAGCCGCGCGGTTGCAGTCTTCACGTGGTTTCAACCGTTGAAACATGTGATATGATGCTGGTCCCATGCATTAGGGTGGGTGTCAAGGTCACCTGAAGGTCAGGTCAGCTCAATGACCTTTGATGACCTCGGTTCATTTTTCGAGTTTTACATGTTTCTAGGCTAGTTTTTGGAGCTGATTTCGAATTTAGCAACCATTTGAACATTACAGGGGGTGTAACGAAATTATCCGGACACCTTTCTTGCAGCTGTAATTAAAAAGCAAAACAATCTGGTACTTTTTCTTTTAACTGAGCTTGTAGCCACCTTTCATAAAAACACAGTGGTGAATGTTCTGAAGCATTTCAGCCAATGAATTCTCCAGCACACTGGCTTTGATGCGGACCAACGCCGTCTAAACCTGTGCCTGCGATGGAGCAGTGCTTATGGCGGGTGGCTCTTCATGCACCTCCTGCTGAACAAGAGCCCACAGGTTTTCGATTGAATTGGGATCGCGACTTTTCCCAAGTCATAAGCGTTAGCCCAGAATGATTGAAGGTTCTATCGGCATCACTTCCCGTTCTTTTAGGGACTTTTAAGTAGCGCGCCGCCCCGCATGAAGACACCGTGGCTTGAATCAGGCATCAGTGCGCGTTCAGAAACCGTGCCCTCCTATGCCGTCTGGTTGAGCGCCTCCAATCATGCTCCACCACCTTCCCTGGAAAAGCTCCACCCTTGCCTATGGGGCAAAATATAAGGGACAAAAACACAAAACAAGACAGATAAAAACAAAGCAAAATTAACTCATTACCTAATGAAATTCAGGCTGGAGCAAATACATAGGTAATAGGTATCTATGTCAAATTAGAATGAAAGATTAAAATCAACCTGACCAGTCCTTACTCAGTAAGGCTTACTGTCTGGCCTGGTCCTAACCACCTTACTTCGCCTAACTTAAACCCATTTCAACCTAGCCTACCACAACACCTACAGAGGTACCTTCCTGGGAAAATGACGCCCAGGGAGGTGACTGTCCAACTTATTGGAATACTACCATGATTGCTTGTCAAAATGTGTGTCATCATGCTCTTGTTTGACAAGTGATGTATAATAAATGTGATATTCAATAATTATCTCCTGACTGTTGACTGTTAAGTGGTCAAAATATTCAAATAATCAGGGTACAATGCTGTGCATAGTGCACACTATTCATGTTGTTTTTGTGTAGGCCCTCTGCACATTGTTGTGTGCACTATGTGCACCTTAGGT